GCGCACAGAGGGCCCTTGTCTGCGGCCTGGGCCTCGGCCTGATGTCATGGCCCTGGTCTCGGAGCAAGAATTGGTGGTAGCTGTGATTTACGGCCTCTGCTGCCAGCGCGGGGCCCTCAGAACTCCCTGTGAAATCAGATGACATAACGACACCAGGCCAGAGCCCGCGAGGAGATGTCGTCAAACCGTTTAAAAGCAATTAGTGCGGATTAAGTTGCTTACCGAGCTAATTGGGAACTTTGAGCGACGTCACGCTTTAATATTTGCCGTTGAGGACAGTTGCAGGTCGTCCGTTGGCCAGCCGAATGCGCTGTGGAATAGCAAGCACTGACAAAGTCGCTGTACGACCACGTGTGCGTTTGTTTTTCCTGTTCATAGGAAGGGTCTGATCCTCCAATAGTGCCGGGTCTCTTAATGAGTGGTTTTACTTCTGAGTCTACATAAAAATCATGCACTGTCTTCTCTATTGACAATTTCACACACTTGGACTTCATTGCTCTAATTTATTGCCGGCAAATCTCAGTGTATTGCACATTCCATATTCATTTTCTATTCTAGTCAGCTGAGAGTCCGCAGAACTGAGTGCTATGTCACCACCACAGAGCAGCTCTAAGATCGAATGCGTATTACCATTTGATGTGGCCCTATTAAATTTAAAAAATAGTCCAGTTTATACTAGAAGTGCTTGCAAATTCTGAAAGCTGTAGGGTTTGTTGTTGTTGTTGTTGTGTGGCTAAGAGTGTCTCCCTGAGCTGGCAGTTTTTCACAAAGTCTTTTAAGATGATAACTGATTTTAAATATTTGAGCTAGAAGTTAGCCAGGTTAATACTCTTCTCTGTTAAATACTACACTGTATACATGTTACACTGTGTAACATGTTGCATCTCCCAGGGAAACATAGTCTCTTCTGCAATTAAATGGCGGCAAATGTTGATAGGCTTTATGACAGGTGGCTTCTTGTGGCTCCACAGGGATGTATCTGCAAATGAAAACCATTTTTCTAGCCTCGGGTTTGCAAAGGTTTGAAGTTAATCTAACATGAGTCAATAGGAAAGTGGCAGTGTTAATCCGTTACTGCTGATTTTCCTTGGCTACTCTGAAGGAACCCACTAGACCAGAGCCTAGATTGCGCCCTGATAATGTCCGTGGGCCCTGAGGACCGTGTCCTTAGTTGCTGTAAATCAGTTAATGCTGTTTTTGTCCTCGCTGAAGAGCTTGGCCCAAGGAAGGGCAGTGAGGAAGGGAACAGGGTCCATCAGGAATCCAGTAGCTGTATTACGCGCACAGCAAGAATTTTGGCTCATTTGAGTAGACACTGTGATGGTAAGTAGGTAGCCAGCGCCTGGTGATAAGGAAGAAGGCTGTGCCAATGTTCTTGCATTGGTTTCAGAAAGTTTGCTTTGCAATACACAGAGGTCCTGCTTTGGGCTCTGTGCAGTCATTTGCAAAGTGAGTGTAAAATCCTGCTTTTTTAAAAAAAGAAGAATATAAGATGTTTTATGTCATCTTTGGGCACAAAGAAATTACTTTCTAAATGACCAGAAAATCAAACCCAGAGCTCACTGGAGTTCCATTTGAAAAGTATCAGCATTAGCAAATATTTTTGGCCTTTGTTATTTCATTTGGTGAAGTTACATAGGCTGGAGAGAGGCAGATACCGGATAGAGTGTCATAAATATACTGTTATCTGGCATTATGTAGTAATTTGTGGCATATCTGTCTTCTGCAAGTCAAGTAGTATAGTTGTTCCCAAAAAATACTAAAGCTGAGGTCTGGTCAGAAAGTGAAATGTTAATGTCAGCGTTTCTGCTGACATACTCAGCTTTGCAGGTTTGATTCCAGATCATCTGGGTCATTAGTAATGTTTTCTCCAGGAAAAAAAAAATCTTACAGAGCCTTGTTCTGCAAACTGGTACGCTGTGAAGACATTTACACTTGTTTGAACTGCAGTGAATGGCTGTCATCCCAGCTTGGTAGGATCCATACATTCATGCTCCGCAGTGCTAAGTGACGAGTCAAACTGTGAGGCCTTGAGAAGTCAGATACAAATCCCTTTGCAATTTCAGCATTGATACCTTTTCTGTCATTAAGAATATACATCCTACTGATGAGATTAGTAAGCAATATTTAGAAACAACAACATTTAGAAAAACTTCAGAATACCACACTGAGAAAAGCTATGGACACAATTCAGTTGAACGAGTTTAAACCTAATACAGGTAGCATCTATTCACTTAAGAGACATTTTGCTTGTCATCACATGAAGTAGCTGAAACTCAGTGCTATCAGTTCAGAGCAATGCAATGAGATGGTGTAAATCAATGTCACATAAAATGGAGGTACTACTTAATCTCATATCCCTCCTCCTTGTTTCCCTCTCCTGCTACCAGCACACTATCAGAGCACAGGCTATCTTGAGTTAGCCTGACTGGTTACTATGATTAACACCAGCATCTTTTGGTTTTGCCTCTGAACCCTGAATTTGCTGTCAAAGGTAGCCAAGAATGTCCTTGATTGCTGTCCCCACATCCAAGAGAGTCCTTGCCTGACCTGCCTGGGGTCATCTCCACTCATTGCGGATCCTTCACCTGGTACAGAGTAGGACTTGCTGGTTATCCTCAATTTGTTGCTGCAGCTATGTGCAGTGGCAAATAGAAACTTAGTTTACAGATTTCCAATGTCTGGGGCCACCAATCTGACCTCCAAATAGATCACTGATAGCATTGCTTTAATAAAGAATAATTTTAAAGGAAAGGAACAAAAAAGTGGCTGATATACCTAGCAGCAAATAAGTGCTATAGAAGGGCTACTAAAAGTGGTCAGCCTGAGATCAGGAATATATCTCCCTTAAAGCTTCATGCCTCTGGCCTGCATGCCATGAAGGCAATAAGCCTACACTAGGTTATAACAAGTAAGACAACTCCAGGCTTTATTGGAACTGAATTGCCAGTGGTAGAACTTGGAATTATTTAGCACAGGTGTTTCTATAACAGTGATATATTGGGAAAATTCAGTGTTCAACAACCATCATATTTCCAGCTGTGCTGTGGTTAGTGCTAGTACAGTGATCCTAATATAAAACATGTGAGAATATTTGCTAGCTCAGGAACTTGTTAAAGGTATTTTCTTACAATATCTGAGCTGCTATGTTTATCTAGGTGCGTTTCTTTGGTCTTGCATTTTCTTAAAGGGTGTGATATTGGTTTTACAAAGCTGTCACTGAACCTGGAATCTGCTTTTCTGCAACCAAATGCATTAGTAACCATGCTAACTAGTGTGCAGCACATGAGCAGGTGAAAATAAGATTATGAGGAATCCAATGACAATCCATTATCCTTAGAACATTCATCTTGAGCAGCACCTGTGCATCTGTTACAAATACAGACACATGTTTTTACTAGGAGCGGTAGAAAGCTTGAAGCAAGTGTTGCAAGCATCTACATGTAAAAGAACATAAAAGGAGCAAAGTTAACAAGAGGCTAGAGGGCTGTAAAACAAGGGTAGTGAAGTGCACTCACCAGCAGCAAAATCTGTGAGTGTTAAAAGACGTTTTATATGTGCACATGCACGCACGTGCATTTTGAGGGGTTCGAAAGACTCATGCACAAACAGTACATGGCTTGAGCATGCTTGAGGGTGTTTAGGGGTTCGAAAGACTCATGCACAAACATAACAGTACGTGGCTTGAGCATGCTTGAGGGTGTTCGTAGAACACATTTGCAAGAACAAATGCAGCAGAAACACATGACACGCATGTGCTCTGAGCTGAGTTGTCTGAATATGTTTTATTAACAACTTTGTGCCATAACAGGTCAGTTATTTTTATATTCTAACAGAAAATCTCTCATACCACCGTAAATTTCCAACAGTGCCCTCAAGCTGTGACTGTTCCTGTGGATTTCTTTCTGGAAAAGAAGACACACTGTACCATACATCCAAACTCAGTTGCTCTATGTGCTACAGTTAAATCTGTCTAGAAAAAAAGTACATATGCAGCCTGGTTTGGCCCTGCTGTTTATAATTTTCCTGAGACAGAAAGTGGGTGTCTTATACCTGTGAACTGCATATTCCATGGGGGAAACAGGAAAGGCACTTGCCTCTGATCTGTGAGGGAAAGCTGTTGTGAAAAAGGTGCTTTGATTTGAGGAAGACATTCTTCTCTGGTTGGAGAAAGAAGATATTCTTTTTCATAATTGAGCTGATGCTAAGACAGTCATTGTGTCCATGAACCAGTAGTATGTAGAGGCCTGCCTTGACTGGTCACTTAGGCTCTCCTTTGGGTGGAAGAAGCAGAGGTCTATTGTAGGAGTCATTCTTTTGTGGTAGGTGGATATTGAGTTAATATTTTTAGGAGCTGGCGCTAGCAGTTCCAGCTTGGAATCGCTGAGAGTTGGATACAACTTGCTGCATATTTTACACCCATTGGCTGGTTAGTAAGATTAAACACCACCATGTAAAAACAAGTAAATCAAATCCTACTCTTTAAAAAAAAAACCCTACACATAATTGAAAACTTCTTGTTCGTAGTACTTTGTCATTTATCTTCGCCATTTTACTTTCGCTGAACTCTGAAAGCCCCATCTCTACCTTACTATGCTCAGCTTTATCGAACACAGGCATTTATCAAATGGGCCATCAGTAGCCGTAGAAATGCAGTAGTATATCCAAGTTAAAATTCTTGCTTTGATTACTACAAATCCATGGAGCCCTTGGGTCCAAGGCTTCTACTGAAGCACAGCTATTTGCAAATAGATTTTTATAGCACATTAGTGCTGGAGGAGAGTCCAAAGAAAATAGTCCTTTTCAATATTAGAACCAGCTGTGACTTTCTTGTGCTGATGACTCATTCATTTTTTTTATAGGGTGGGAGAACTAGGCAAAAGACACACAGAGTCTTATTCAAGACGTTGTTTGTTTTGCAAAGGGTATCCTAGCCACAAGCCAACTTGATCATACCAATATGCAACTCATGTTTATTTAAAACTTTTTTCTTTTAACAGTTCCAATTATAAAAACAGAACCCACAGATGACTATGAGCCTGCTCAAACCTGTGGACCAATGAACCAAGGCTTAAGCCCTCTCTCTAAGCCGTACTACAGCCAACAGATCATGATGCCCCCCGACCCTGGTTCGTGCCTTGTGGCTGGCTTCGCCTCCTGTCAGCAGAGAAACGCCGTGATGACACCTTCTCCCACCGCAAGCCCCAAGCTGCACGACCTTTCCTCCTCTCCTTACAAGTGCATCCCCAACCCGGGCCACGGCCACCTTGGACTTCAGCAGCCCGCTGGAGGTGTCCCCACCATACAGGAAGTGCCAAGGTCTATAGTTGTGCACCCAAGCTCTCCCGAGCAATCATCTCACATCATGCTGCAGCCGCAGGTGAGTCAACATCTGAGCAGTAGCTGTCCCCTTGGTTACCAACAAACACTCTATCCCAACAGTCCCTCTTCTCCAGTTCCATCTGTTACCCAAGAGCCAACCTATTTGCAGTCCTGCAGTCCAACTCATTCATCCATAATGGGTCAACAGCAGCAGCAACTGCCGAAGGTTCACAGAAATGAGTCTCCAACAAACCAACCACTGTCATTGCCAGAGTTGCATGAGGAAAGTAATCATAATTTGGCCCCTATTCCTGTAACGATCAAGCGAGAACCTGAGGAATTGGACCAGATGTACCTGGACGATGGTAAGTCTTCTGCAGCTGTAGAGGTTTGCGTTCAACCATGTTGCTATATCAGTGAGTTCTTTTAACCCCAGCTCCTTTTGAATCCCAGTGGAAGAAAGTTCAATTAACAGCCTCATGGAATGGTGCAGAGTTTTGCTCGGATATTCTCTATATGGGAACGTCTTCTTTAATTTTGTTTGGAATAATGAAATCAAGTTATTCAAGCATTAAAAGCTGTTAGTTACTGTAGAGCTAGCTGCATGACCAATAGCTACATTGCAATAATCTTAACCGTATGGTCTTGGCTTACGCCTATGCCAGTGACCTGTGGAACTGCAGTGATAACATATTTAACGTGTCCCATCCATAGGGCAGTGAAACTTCTCATAGGCAAATCTGTTCACTGGAACTAAATGATAAACTACTCTATTTCAGCTGAGAAAGTTCAAATTAAAAATGGAGGCATATCTTTCAGTGTAATTTTTCAGCCTCGTGGCATCTGATGTTAAGGCTACTGTTTCTTTAGTTCTGACTGTGGATTTGCTGTTGCCTGCTTCTTTTTTAAGTTTGTAAGATTTTATATGTGTATATATATTCTACACGCACAACTGCTGTTAAAATGGTGCGATGAGCTTGTCAGACTCTAGTTTCCAAAGATTTATTAGCTGAAAATAATAAAAGAGGTAATCTGGAATTTGATTATGTGACCTCACTGAGCTGTGATTTAGCACTTACTGCTAGTTTCCCAGTTGTATTCTGAACCCTCACGTAATGCAGTATATGCAATCCCTTTCAATAGCCATGTAACTTTATATAACATACCGTGCTACTCAAAAAAGAAATGCCTTTGAAATGGCTGCATTCAAACTCACTGGTGCCAAGGAGAAACATCTGAATATAATTGTATTTCAGGGAGAAAATAAAGACAATTCAAGGTCTAAGGAATTTTCATAATTAGGAGTTCATCTGACTGAAATTTTGCACAACACATCTTTTTGTGACAAGGTTTTCTTCCTATAGCGTGTATTCTTACCCCATATCTATGCTATGAAGAGCAAGATTTCAACAAAAAATTTACACAAACCAAAACAAAAAGCCATGCCTAGATTCTGGATAAGAGAGAAACCAGAAGTTATCCAGGGAGGGAAGAGATTACAGCTAGAATCTAAATCTAGCCTACTTCTAGAAAAGCACAAAGAAAAGAAAAAAGAGCACTCTAACTGCCTTACCTCTCCAAAATCTAGCAGCCACTTCTCTTGCAGTATTGGCAAAGCTGCCTGTGGCTGGTCTCTACCAGACGGTTGGGACTGTGGGTTGAGTGGTGGTTGAAGCTCCTCAGTGGTGTTGACTCCAGAGTTCTCCTGGAGAAGCAGAGGAACTTGGCTGTTCTGTGTGCTGGAGCAGAGGTTTAATTTTTTTCAGCAAATATTTTCTCTCTGGCAAAACATAAATAGTTTAGTCCTACCCATCTCCCTTTGCTCCCCTGTTCTGGACATGCATCACAGCAGCCCTCTGAAGCAGAAGCAGTTGCAGAGGCTCCCGTGTACACTTACCTGGGTTGGGGTTGAACTTGTTCTTACCTGGGGTTGAGACTGAAGTGCTTTTCAACTATCTGAATCCAGATAACCTTCCCTTTCCCATCTGGTGGCTATCAAAATCATTTTGTGGCTGAGCACCAGAACTGTACCCCAAGCAAAAAAAAAAAAAGGAATGGACACAATACTCATGGTAACAGTAAATAATAGAAAGCAATTAATTTATGTAGTTTCAAAAACTCAACACCCCTCCAAAATTGGTAGTAGGTTGTAGTTGTACAGGCCCTCGAGACAAAGGAAATTTTCCCAGTTACACCACTTTCTCTATCTTAGAAGCATGCCGGAGGAGATGACCAATCTTTATTCTTGCTGTTGAGGTAGATGTCTTCCTGCACTTACCTCTGTTCTTTGTTTTTTGTTTTCCAATTAATTTACAGTATGGTATCCATTTGCTGCCACTTTTAGCAATTTATTACTACTTATTATTTTGATTACACTTCGCACCCTAGTGCCAACAGGCAGTAAATATATTGCTTCTGAATAGTCATTCTGTCTCAATAAAAATTCCCCTTCTCATGCTCAGCTCTTCGCTGTGGAGGATGATGTCTGGGCTTCCTCCTGCACTCGCAAAGGGCGGTTTAGCCACTGCAGCCTAGGAGCAGTGTGATTCCTCCTGGTGTCTCAGCAGGTGCTATTTGCTCCATAGACCTAGTGCCTTGGTACCAGGTGCTGCCTCATTCAGATTTCTGGTGCTAACTGTGGAGTAAGGCACATTCCTGGGCAGGAATGGCTGTTGCAAAGTTGTTCTGATGGAACAGTTGGCTGATTTTTCATGTGCATGATTTTTTGGATTCGGAACTTTTAGACCTTTGACATTGCTTCCTGTTAGTACTGTATTCCTCTTTAAATGTTTCCCTCGTTGGAGAATGGGTAGGCATTTCTGCTTTGTGATCATATTCTGAAAATCTGAATTCAAATCATTCTAGTGAGTAAGGACAGTAAGTCTTTTATATTTTTAGTAGATTGCTGCAGCATTTGTTTATGATGTGTTGTTTCACTGACTCAATTCATATCCCTTCACATAGCATGTTTAAAACTCCTTTCAATTTTTATTAAACTGTGGCATATGTGAACAGTATGAAAGCCAGTTAGAGATAACCCATAGTGTACTGCTTTCTTTCCCTTTTACTCTAAATCTACCATTCCTGAAGTAATTTTAAAGTAAGGCAATGTTTTAATGGCATTAAAAAATACATTCTGGAAGCATCAGTAACTTCACAGTGCCCTCAATTTATAACCTCCAGTATTACTTTAAGATACCTGTGAAAAATGTAAGCAAGCCAATCATCTAACATACTTTGGGACTACTGAACAAATAAAAAATATCTTAACTGGTTATGGCAAATAATATTTGGTAAAGATTTTGGTTACATGTTTACCATTTTGGGCAGGTTTGATTTATGTACCTAATCCACAGTTAGTAATCTTGGACCAGGTATAAACAGATTTTTTTTGGTTTTAGCCTGTGGGATCAAAGAAATATTCATTCCTTTTGGTTTGGAATGTATCCAAATATAGAGCATCTATACTGCAGAGTTTTCTGGAAAAAAAGCAGTCAGTGAGTTTATATAAATATATATTTTGTATATGAGATTTCTCTGTCTCTGCAATGGTGGGCAGCTGAAGCGATATAAAGGGAACACCCAAAGAGGCTTCCATTTTGGCAAACAAACGTTAGTCTTGGCCATCTTGTTTTAAATCAGAATCTACAGTAGCCACCTGGACTACTCATTAAGTGGGCTCTCCATTTCAGTATGTGAGTATGTGATTCAAAATGTAGAACATACTTGAAACTTAGGCTCTAAAGTGATATCTGATATGACAGTGCTCTTGATATTGAAAGGTATCTGGCTTGTAGACGAGCACTCTTGTTTCAAATAATTCTGAGTGAGTCCAACCTCCAAGCAAAGACTATGACTGACTCCTTCTGCCACTTTCACAGGGATATTTGATGTTCTGCTTAAAAGCGCAGTCTGATGAAGCAACTGAAAAAAGACATTTCTGCCTGGGTCCCTTTTGAATATGCTCCTCCCTTCTGTCCCTTAAACAGGGCCTTGTTCAAAGCTGTGCTAACCTATACTTGAAATATTCCTGGTCCTTTTTTGTTGACCAAGGCAGCTCAGGTGTTTTTTTTTCCCCTCCGCCCCAAGTACAAGGCAGAGGAATATGATTTCACACAGCTTTCAGGATGCTCAGGCAGCCTGGGGACTGGCCAGGCTCACAACAGGAGATGTTAAAGGTGACTCAAAACTATCCTCCTTCTCCCCATTTCCCTTTCCTGGACCTAGTGCAGCTTGGGTGGAACACAGAACTGAGCTCCAAATCTTTATTTCACCAGGATGGAGAGAGTTCAATTAGACATGCTAATGCCAAGAAACATTTTTCAGGTTGTAGCTGGCACTCCCACAAGCTATTACATTCTTTACCTGCAACCGAATGACACTCAGTTGTGAAATTATTTCCTGCTATTAGAAACATCAAAGAAATTAGTTTTCATTGTAAACAAAAATGAAGCCATTTCGAAAAAGCAGGGGGGAAACACATTGGTACCAACAGGAAAAAGACACAGGACTTACTTTCTCATCAGATTTCAAGTGTACTGTATATGATGTGATTACATTTGATATTTTAATGCATAGAAATTAACAAAATTAGGTTTCAATGAAAATCAAAACATTATCCTGGAGGAGTCTTTATTAAAGCTATACTTGATTTATGGAGCTGAAGAAGCTCTCAGCCTCTTTAGGCTTTGCCCACGTTCAAATCTAAAAGTTTTTAGATGAAATCCCAGCACACTGAAATCAGTGGTGAACTCCCATTGACTACAGTGGGGCCAAGATTCCAGCCTCGGTTTAAAAAATTGTTTTCCAGAACTCCCTGAGTTCTCTTATAGGTGCCAGAACTGGGATAACAATATCTGAAAGATAGATCTCTTGTCTGAAGTTTTGTATATTAATTTAGCCTCCTCCTCTCCACACAGACTCTTTCATAAAGATTTGGATTTGGATCTTGACTTGATCTGACCTATAAATCTTTGTATAGCAAGATGAAAATATATAGATCATAAACAAAAGTATCTGATGTTTAGATATGTGGCTAGCAGAAAGTATCAAAACCACATCATCATCTTTTTGAAAACAAGGAGGCTTTTGTTCTCGTGATTGTCTTTGCACAGCTGTGAGTTTTATAGTGCTGTGCCAATGAATGCACCCTTTGCAACTTTTATTTTACTCTGAAAAGGTAAATTGGGAGCATTAAGCCCCCAATAAGTATGTAAAAGTGGCAAAACCACAGGTAAAGTGTTACTGAAAGCTGCAGCCCTGCCAGCCATTTCATTTTAAACATGGCTCTTTTAAAAATAACTTTTGCAGTAAAAGCTGTAACTCCTGGATGTAATATGAGCTATTGCTAATGTCATTCCCATGA